GGGATGCTGCGCGCGCCTCTGCACCCTCCCGCGGGCCTGCCGCTGCGCCTGCTCAGTCTTCCGAGGGAACGCCACGCATGTGCCAGGCTCTCCCGGGCCTCCGCCTTTTGCAAAGAGGGGAGGAGATCCCGGCGGCCGCAACCAATGGAAATAGGAGGGCGAGTCCTCGAGTCGCCCCACCCTACGAATCCTTTTGTGGCGCGTGATCAGCCTTGTTCGCGCGACGCGAGTTGGTCCCTTCCGGGACCCGTAGCGGGGGAAGGCCTCGGCCCTGGGGTGGCTGGGGGACGTCATGGTGGAGAAAGGTTGCCCAGGGGTGACTCTAGTGCGGCGTTAGAAGCTCGCTGCCTTGTCATTGTGAAAGTCGGGGAGATGTGTGGAGGCTTTGGGTGGCCGGCGGCTTTGACCCGGGAGCGTCAGTGTCAGCGCGAGTGGAAGCCGCGTGCCAGCCGGATCTGCGTCGCGTCTGGCGTGCGCTCGAGGTGTCCATTGGATACGTTTCTGAAACCGTGCTGAAGGGCAGGAAGTGGACGAGGGGCAGGGCCTCCAGAATGTCCACCAAGCGCTCTCTCCCTTCCCCAGGAAAGCCTTATCATAGGACACCTTGTAGCAGTCCCTCTTTCACAGACACGCTCATCTCCCCTGCTTTCTCTTGGGGAAAAAAAAAAAAAGTCTGGCAGTGGGTCTGTCTGTGAACACCCGCACGTCCCCAGGCACTTTTCCTAGGCTTCAAACTTAACACCGACGCCCTTACCCTTCCCGCTTGGACGGCCATAGACCAGACAGACTGGGCTTATCCAGGCCATCAAAACCAGCAAATCGAGCAAAACAGCGGGGAGGTCAAGCGGCCGCCCCCGAGTCCCCTCTATCTCTGTAGGTGCCAATAGCTTTCCTCTTGCTTAGGACCGACCTTGCTGCTGAGACCACTTTTCTGCACTTCGCGCCTCTAAGCCATCAGGAAACCCACGTGCCACTATGATGGAGGCCCAAGATCCCTTTATCTGATTCCAACCCCGGCATTAGCCCTGTAACAGATAGATCCCTACGACCTTTCCACCCAGCATCCATTCCGAAGAGTGGCACTGTTGGAAACGTAGGCATTCTTGCTGAGAAGTCTCCAGTGGTTCCTTACATATTTCCCCCCCAAAAGTCAAAATCTCCCTCTCTTTGATCTCTTGTGCCCCAGCCTGACTCACTGTACTTCCTACGTTAGTTCCTGCTGTCCAAGGCCTCCGACAAGAACAGGCAACCACAAAGCGGCTTGGCAATCTTCAAATTTCACTTAACTGTTCCTCAGGGAGCTGCCCCCCACACCCTCCACATCCCGATACCCTTTAGTCATCCTTCTACCCCCAGCTCTTATCACCTGATACTTGTTTAGATGTTTTGTTTTGTTTTGTTTTTAAACCTGGCCCCTTTTTTGTTTCTCATAATAAATGATGGCATCTTCTGCTGGTCAGTCTCTTTACACTCCACAGCTGTCAAATTTTGACTTCTGATTCTCTTAGTACTTTTTTTTTTTTGGTCTTTTTGTTCTATTTATTTGATTCTCTTAATACTTAATAGTGGGCCTTGGTGAGGCAAGCCTGAAATCCCAGCACCAGGGTGGTAAAGGCAGATGGAATCCAAGGGTTCTGAGTTATAAAGCCATCCTGGTTATAAAGAAAAACCATGTCTAAAATGCTGGACATGGTGATGCAGGTCTTTAACCCTGCACTAAGGAAACGGGAAATCTGTGAGTTTCAGGACATCTTTCTCTAAAAAAATACATATAGATATATTAAGATTATTTATTTTTAGCTGAGCATTGGTGGCACACACCTTTAATCCCAGCACTCGGGAGGCAGAGGCAGGCATATCTCTGTGAGTTGGAGACTAGCCTGGTCTACAAGAGCTAGTTCCAGGACAGTCTCCAAAGCCACAGAGAAACCCTGCCTCAAAAAACTAAAAAAAATAAATAAGATTATTTATTTTTATGTGTATGGACCTGCTGTCTGCATGTGTGTCTGAGCACCACATGCAGGTCAAGTACCCAAGGAGGCTTGCAACTGGAGTTATAGACTGTTGTTTGTCACCATGTGGGTGCTGGGAACTAATCCTGGGTCCTACAAGAGCAACAAGTGCTCTTAACCACTGACCCATCTCTCTAACATTTTTCCTTTCTAGAATTGAGACAGGCTCTCACTGTGTAGCCCTGGCTGTCCTGGAAAGTACTCTATTCTCCGATTCAACAGAGATCCACCTGTCTCTGCTTCTGGAATGCTGATATTAAAGGCGTGCTCCACCACCCCCAGCCTCTTGCATTTTGAATGCTGTCTGGATCTATCTGTGTAGGAATGCATTAGTGATTTTTCTTGCCTCCAGGGTTGGTGTCTCGCCCTATCTATAGCCAAAGTGATTTTCTAAGATGATGATTAACTGCACCCTGTCAATTTTGATGTAAAACCCTGCAGTGGCTTTCTATTGTCCTCCAGATAAAAGCCCAAACTGCTTCCTGTGACAAAGCCCTTTATGATGTGGTGTAAGCGCTCTTCTCCACCTTCACTTATAGGCCTGTTCTTCCTATTCATATCCTCAGGATTTAGGCTGTGAACACTTGAGCCATATCCCTGCCCCACCCCCACCCACCTACTTCCTGACTTTTAAGCTGAAGCTGTTCCAAACACAGACATTTGTCTGTTTGTGAACAGGTTGGACTTGAAATGGCAGTTGTTTTAACCTGTAAATCTGTAAGCTGACAGTGACTAAGAAGTAACTGAACACAGGAGCTCCAGGCCAACTAGGCTACTTAGTGAAACCCTGTCTCAAAGAAAGAAAAGGCTACTCAGTTGTCATTTCTTTCTTTTATTTTTTTTCTTCTTTTTTTTGGGGGGGGAGGAGGGTTTAAGACAGGGTTTCTCTGTGTAGCTTTGGAGCCTATGCTGGCACTCGCTCTGGAGACCAGGCTGGCCTTGAACTCACAGAGCCCTGCCTCTGCCTCCCGAATGCTGGGATTAAAGGCATGCACCACCACTGCCCGGCTTTCAGCCACTTTTTTAAAAAAAGATGTTAGCTTTTGAGCCAGTGTGGTGCCTTTAATCCCAGCACTTGGAGGCAGACTCAGGGGGACCTCTGAGAGCTCAGGAGACACTGTAGAGAGACCCTGTCTAAAACTAATTAGTGAACTTAGCTTTTGAGATGGGGTGTCAGAGAGTTGCCCTGACTGACCAAACTTGTATTTGCCCCTGCCTCCGGAGTGCTGGGATTAAAGGTGTGTACCACCACCTCCTGGCTAAAGTCTAAGATTTCAACAGCAGATACAAAGTTATTAAACCAGGCGCATTATACCATTCACAACTTTTGCAAAAAAAAAAAAATCTATTCATAAGGCAGCCAGGCATGTGGAGATGTAAAGGTGTCACAAATCAGTCTCCTCTGGGTAGAATTTAGGGACATTTGTGGGGCAGTGAGGTAGGATTTGTGTCAGTGTTGGGAAAGGTGATTGGAGAGCTTTTCTAGGGTTTCCCTCAGTTTCAAGTAAAACTGTAACCAGGAGTGGTGGGCTCACCTTTAACCCTGGCTCTCAAGAGGCAAAGGAAGGCATCTGGCCTAAATAGCAAGTTTCAAGCTAGCTAGGGCTATGTAGTGAGACACTTCTATATGGAAGTAAAAGACAGGCTGGGGAATGGCTCAGCAGTTAAGAGCATGGACTGTTCTTCCAGGGGATCCAGGCTGCTTTTCCAGCACTCACTCTGTTGACACACAACCACCTGTAACTTTAGCTCCAAGGTATCTGAACCCTCTGGCCTCTGTGGGCACCGACCTGCACATGGTGCACATAAACTCACACAGGCACACAAGCACACACACACACACACACACACACTCACACACACACACAATAAGCATAAATCTTTTGGCCAGACATGGTGACACACACCTTTAATCCCAACACACACACACACACACACACACACACACACACACACACACACACACACACACACAGCAACAAAAGGCTAGAGATACAGCTCAGAGGCAGAGTGCTTGCCTAGCACATACGAAGTCCTTGCTTCAATCCTCAGTACCTCAAATGGGGAAAAACAAACAAAAAACTCCACAATCTAACATGCACTTGGCATACAAATAATAATAAATATAAATAAAAAATTGAAAATAAGTGTGAAAAACAACCTGCAAGTAAACGTCAAGAGTCACTAGATGGCGCTCTTTCCTCTCAGGCTAGTGGGTCTCTGGACAGGTGGGGCTTGTTAGAAATGAGTGATTTGATACTTGTTTTAGGCTGGGCCCTTGCTTTGGGTGCTTAAAGGCACTTGAAGGAAGTGTAAGGCCTGGAGTTTACAGGAAGGATGGAGCAACAGGCACCTAAGGAGAATACAACCATATTTTTCACTTCTCTTTCCCTTTAAAGATCTCTGAAGACTTTATAGTTAGACATTACTTGTGCACATTGTTTGTTGGCAAGGTTTTACTCTTTATTTTTTGAAACAGGGTCACATGTAGCCCAGGCTAGCCTCTTTTCTCTGTGTAACTTTGGATGACCTTGAACCCTTGATTCTTCTGTTCTCCACCTCACACATGCTAACTTAAAATAAGAGTTGAGCTGGACGGTGGTGGCGCATGCCTTTAATCCGAGCACTTTGGAGGCAGAGGCAGTCAGATCTCTGTGAGTTCGAGACCAGCCTGGTCTACAAGAGCTAATTCCAGGACAGCCTCCAAAGCCACAGAGAAACGCTGCCTCAAAAAACCAAAATAAATAAGAGTTGAGTAGGGTGGTGGTGGCACAGGTCTTTAATCCTAGTACTCAGGAGGAAGAGGCAGGCAGATCTCAATGAGTTCCAGGCCAGCCTGCTCTGCAAAGTGAGTTCCAGGACTGCCAGAAATGTTACACAAAGTAACCCTGTTTCAACAAACCAAAAATATAAGGGTTGATCTGGGCATAGTGGTGCACACCTTTAATCCCAGCACTGGGGAGGCAAAGGCAGGTGGATCTCTATGACTTAGAAGTCAGCCTGGTCTACAGAGCAAGTTCCAGGCCAGCTAGGGCTGTATAGTGAGACCCCCCCCCATAATAAATATATTCAATAAGGGCTGG